GGAAAATGATTATTTTGAATGCTAATTGAAGACGTATCAGCAGAAAAGCTTATTCATGTGTGAGAAATGTGTCTATATGCAAGATAAACGCGTAACTAACGACTCGCATATGAATGGGTAACAAAGTAACAAATTAAAATCGTAACGCTTTGGTCCATTGGGAGTGCTCAGAATAAAGGCAGAGGGAGGAGTACAGAGGCGACATTGTCGATTCAATATGAGTTGTGACTTTAGAACTGTAAACTTACTTATTTTTGTATCAGTCAAAATTAGTTAGTATTGTTTTACTTATATCAACACTAATGTTGTTGTACAAATTCAGAACTATGTCTTGTTTTGTCGTGCGCACATAACATATGTTGCAAGCCAAATTTTGTTTCTTTTTACTTGTGTTTTTTATGTATCTTTTTAGCTTGTGACGTGTATTCCGAGCCTAATAAATAAATTTTAATATAAATAAACAAAAATTGTTACGCGCTAGGGCTAGGGATTAAAAAAACGTACACCGAATTACAAATTAAATACTTACAACACGTAAGGTACACTTCGAAAACCGCAGTTCACTTCTATCGCTTCGCTTCAGGTGATCTGTTCGCTGTTTTTTTTTTCGAGTAGAACCGATTATTAACTTGTCATCTCTGCAAAGCTTCCATAGACACGATATGTCTACAATTATGGAGAACATTTCCGATAGTTCTAGTCGTTTGGATACACGTTTTCGCTATTTGACAAGAGATGGCGTTACACTTCTTGGGCGTTCCCGATAGTACTAGTTCTTTTGATACTCGTTTCTGCTACTTGATGACAGATGACGTTACTCTTACCGGCATAACGCTATTGTTAAACCACAACAATAACAATAAAACTTTTGCAATGAAATATTTCAAAACGTAATTCCATTTGAAATAGAAATCTACGCGGTCTTTGTTAAGGGATGCATTCTTTAAATTGTGTATTTTAAAGACTAGCTATCCCCCCACATTTATGTCTCCTCCTACACATTATATCGCGTAGGCGGATACCCGCCCTTAGAAGTGGGATGAAAGGTAACGTTCCCGGGGCTCAAAATATTTCCATAAATCGGTTCAATTGTCGTAGCTTTCAAATCATACCAAAAGACACCTAGTTTTTTTTATTTATATCTTTTTGCTATGTAACCTCTAAGAGTAAAAAATATTTATAAATATGTCCACTGACTCGGGCAACCATTAGTGTGATGAACAGGTTGGTCTGCTCTTTGTCTGGGTATGTAATATCCATATGTGTATCTAAATCAGTCTCTGGTTTTTATTGTGCAGGGAATCCTAGTTTGGGGGTGACTTGTCCCCGGCTATTATTATTATACTATAAGACAAGAGCTTAAGAGTATAAAAGTAAATTATAAGAATATTTTAATGACAAAATTTTTCAGAATATGCGATTTTAATATTATATGTACTACATTTCTCTCAAAAATAGTTCAGGAGAACCACAGAGATCTGCGTGAATAAACAAATAGACAAAGGCTAGGTTTTTTTTTATTGCTTAGATGGGTGGACGAGCTCACAGCCCACCTGATGTTAAGTGGTTACTGGAGCCCATAGACATCCACAACGTAAATGCGCCACCCACCTCGAGATATAAGTTCTAAGGTCTCAGTATAGTTACAACGGCTACCCCACCCTTCGAACCGAAACACATTACTGCTTTACGGCGGAAATAGGCGGGGTGGTGGTACCTACCCGTGTGGAATCCCAAGAGGTCCTACCACCAGTAATTACGCAAATTATAATTTTGCGGGTTTCATTTTTATTACACGATGTTATTCCTTCACCGTGGAAGTCAATCGTTAACATTTGTTGAGTACGTATTTCATTAGAAAAATAGGTACCCGCCTGCGGGATTCGAACATCGGTGCATCGCTTCATACGAATGTACCGGACGTCTTATCCTTTAGGCCACGACGACTTATGTGCAGATAAGGTTAGATTTATAAGTCAGGAATTTGTTATGCGGTATATAGTGTGGTATTTATGACCTTTAGTAACCAATGAACACCAGTTGCGCCTTGAGATCTATCAGTAAGCCAATGTAATAGAAATACCTCGAGGAAAAATCAGTCACATTAAGCTTAACATTTATTATGATAAATCATCTGCACACCGCCGCCACTAGGAGCCACAGCAACAAAAACCTATTTATCAGTTCTCACCTTTAATTGTAAAATGTACAAATATACTCTTTCTTTTTGCTAATATATTTTATTTTTATAAACCTAAAAGAAATTATTTTATAATTCGTTCTATTTCAATTTTAAGGAGATTCTCAGTTACGTTTATTATACATATTCTTGTTTTGAATATTTGAAAAGATCATTTTGCACGTAATAGTATTAAAACGAATGTCGGTTAAACATTGGCTAAATGGAGGTCCGAATTTGACTAGGCGCCAACAATGAAACCGCACTTAACACTAGATCGGAACAGATTTGGCTCAAGTGAATCTGTGTTTTAAACTCTCTTACATGTAGGTAATGGGTTGCACCTGTCGAAGCTGTGGTTTTTCCTTCACATTTATTAGGCGAGATTGCAAAAAGTGCGTGTCTTAAAAAAAAAACTGTTGTAGTCTTTGTATAAACAATTCAAAACGTCCAAACCAATTTTGCTAGTGGTAGGACCACTTTTGAATCCGCGCGGGTAGGTACCACCCCGCCTATTTCTGCCGTGAAGCAGTAATGCGTTTTGGTTTGAAGGGTGGGGCAGCTGTTGTAACTATACTTGAGACCTTAGAACTTAAAATTCAAGGTGGGTGGCGCATTTACGTTGTAGATGTCTATGGGCTCCAGTAACCACTTAACACCAGGTGGGCTGTGAGTTCGTCTACGCATCACTGCAATAAAAAATTTGTTTGGTGAACATCGGCTTACTGGTGATAGGGAGAATCTTGTGAGTCCGCGCGAATAAGCACCACTACCCTGCTTATTTCTGCCGGGAAGTAGTAATGCCTTTCGGTTTTAAGGGTAAGGCAGCCGTTGCACTATAAAAGTGCATGAGCTCATGTCTCATGATTGGAAGCAGCATTTACGTTGTTGATATCTATGTGATTCTGTAACCACTTAATTTGAAGTGGGCCGTGAGTTTGTCCACCCGTTAAGGCTTTAAAAAAAACAACAAATTCACAACACGATAAGTGGCTAAGAACTGTTAGTGAAAAATATATTTTCTTAAATACTTCTTTTGATCTAATTCTAAATATATTTGTAGTTTAAAAAAAAAAAACAAAAAAAGCACCCTTATTAATCTCTAATTTCATATCTCTTCTCGCAAATTTTATGTCCTTTTATTTGTCGATTCTGATTAGGAAATTAGAACGAAGTTATAAAATTTATTGTATTATCATCGGGTTCGTTGATTTTTGTGAAAATTTTCTATTTGACATGACGTTTTAAGTTGATGGAAATGAGGTCTAAGGATTCCATTACATACAAACATGCAGACATACATACTAAGTCGATGTAAACGTGTTAAAAATTGTATTAATCTAACTCTTTTTAAACTACGAGATTGTGTTTCGTTTATTCGATGGAGTTTTAATCTAACATCCTTTTTATTAGTAGTAGTAGTTTTTTCTCCTACCGACGCCGAAAGTTCGGTTTTCCTCCCGCTGTACAGGGAAGAAAGTGTAACTTTTCCTCCCTGGGTACAAATGCGCATGCGCGTTAGTGTCTACGTCTGCTCTCACGCACCTAAAATTCTCCGCTATTGTTATACTCGGGTAATTTGCAATATTGTGTTTAGTGTAAATGTGAAATAAACAAAAGGCAATAAAATTTAATAGTGAAGTATTAAACAAAGACTAGCTCATCAGACAGTTCTTATTCAATTAGTAGTAGTTTATTTAAAAATTAAAAAACAGTTAAATTGTTTTTTAATGAGTATGGGGGGCTCCGCCCCCCTGCCTCCTGCCAGGGCTTCGCCCCTGGACCCCGGCTCGATACTCCACGAACTTTCGGCCTGGTAGGAGAAAAAATAGTATGTGCACCGCGGGAAAAAAGTAGGACATCTCACGCGGACATTTTACACGCGGTAGGAAATGTCCTACTTTTCTCCCTTGGTGCACAATGTACTATTTACATACTATTTTTTTCCGAAATAGCTTTTATCAATACAAAAATGAAATATTTCACTGCATAAAGTACGTAAATAGCAATTTTGTTGTTGTAAAATCAATCAATCAAAGCGGTGTTTTTGTCATAACAAATCTTATTATGACTTAGCTAACGTTGTGTAAACTTAGGCGTTACTGTCATATTTAGTTTGAATTAAATAATCATTTCCTCAGCTCGTGCAGCAATTTCCGCAGTAGAATTTTACAGCCGCTTCAACGCTTCATTAGTAACTCGTAAGGGCTTGCTTTACGCATCAGCTGTGACTCCCACACGATCAGATCGCTAGTACGTGTCATTGACCGTTTGAGGTAGGCGACACGACAAGGCGGTTCGATCGTTGCGCTTTCTCTTAAATAAATAAACAGCAGATGCACTGGTCGCCGTGTTCTAATTCCAATTGAAATATTATTCAACATGAAAATGTAGAGCGAAATGTTTTTATTTTAGTCTTATAATAAATGAAATAATAACAAACGTTATCTGACCACGTGCTGGTTTAAGCTTTCGTTCGAAATACGAAATTTCGGAAGTTGCCAGAAGAATTCGGAACCTTGAAAGTTTTTCAAATTATGTACGTTGTATGAAAAAAAAAAAAACACTAGAGCCGTTATTATTGGAAGTAACCACACACGCGGGACGCTTGTTCCGAACTATAGACAGAATTTCAATAGGCAAGTTCGCTTATGAAACAAACCGAGGTCAGCGGCGGCGTGTACCGCGTAGCTATAATCAAAATCTTGCGTGATCGGAACCCTCACGACATCATTTCTGTCTGCTTCAACCGAAAGTGGTATAAAACAAGGGGAGTTATTACAGCGGAATGGACGTGCAAAATCAGTGTACCGGTGTTGCCCGTGGTTCATGTGGCGTGCATTTCGATTGTGGAACAAGGCGCGGAGGAAAAATCGAATTTCCATGCCGGCAGTCGAGGCTGAGGCGGCGCGGCGCACACATCGCGCACACAGCGCCCGCGCGCGCCTTCTCCCGCGAAACTTCGCTTCACGTAATTCAAAACTTCTACGCGCCATCCGAACAGACTAGTGTTAGTGTACGCGTTTCCGTGTCTATGGTACGGTGGGCTAATTAACGGATTATGGGCCGGGCAAGGGTCGGCCCGGGCGCGGGTCAACTCGCCGTCCTAACGTACGAAATTCGTATTCTTCATTACAAGGTGACGTCATTATCGCGGTCGATCGCGGTTGCAATAAAATCGCGATCGTGGCAATAATAAAACGTTTTCGTTAATTACCGATTTAATAATAGTTGCATTGTCTCATTCGTCAGTCGTAAAGTTTTAGCGTATAATAAAATAATCCGCAGATTACGACCTTCGCGGATTATTGATTAAAAACATCATTGTGCGAAGCCCGTACCGCAAATAATGTTAATTTATTCTATGCTCCATAGAAATGTTTATACTCGATTGTGTATCGGAATTGTCTTTGTGTTATAAACTTCTGTCATATAATATAAAAGTGCATCCGTTTTTTTTAAGTTTCATGTTTTCATATAGTGTACTTACAGATTAAGAATGCTATTTCACCAAATCGATTGGAAACCGGTAAGCTTGGTTTATTCTCAATGAAAAGTATTATAAAAACGATAGATATTATATTCAACTATTCGAATATTATAGTAAAATCACCGACACCGAATCATATATCTTATGGGTCGACTATTATCAAAGCCGGCAATGTGACTTTTGGACAATTATTGGTAAATCAGAAAAACGAATTATTGACTTTGTATTCCATTGGCAGTCACAAAACTCTTCTGAACGACATCTTAGATAAATAACAGGTTAAGTATTAACCTTTATTTAATGCAGGTTTTGAACCGTTTTCTTTGAAGGAGACGATTATATTCAAATCAATCTGTATTGACATATCAATAACATTTTTTTGGCCAAATGCACAGATTGCCACTTTTGATAATAGACGACTCTTATGAGCACTGAATAGCGTAAAATGATTTGCATAGATGAATTAGAAAATTTTCTGCTATTTTCATTTCAATAAATTTTCTTATAAATCCGTAACTTTCCTTCGTACGATATTGATCTATATTTCCTGTTTTGTAACATCACAATTTTAATGTACATAATATATCATTTAGGTTTTTTATGTTTACGTCATAGTTATAAAAAGAACCGAATGAAGCGTGCAACCAAAAATAATATAAAGAAATTGGAGTAAACTCTTATTTCCATTTTTTAATACATGTGCATGACTAAATGACTTTTTAAAGTACCTATTACCAGTGACTAATCTATACTAATATATAAATCTACAGTGGTTTTTACGGATGTTCCGTTATAACTACTGAACCATGCATCCGATTAACTTGAAACTTGGTATCCATTTAGAAAATACATGTACTTAATGAATATGCCAATGACAATAAATAATATTGTTAATTTTAAATGCGCAGCGAAGCGGGCGAGTACGGCTAGTATTGTATATAAAACAATCTCTTTTTACTAAATACCCGTCAGATTTACTATTGTATAAATACGCAAACATTTTTATACTTTTTATTATGTAAGTCATATAAGTAAAAACATATCTTTACAGTCTTCGTTGTAATTAACTGGTGGTAGGACCTCTTGTGAGTCCGCGCGGGTAGGTACCACCACCCTGCCTATTTCTGCCGTGAAGCAGTAATGCGTTTCGGTTTGAAGGGTAGGGCAGCCGTTGTAACTATACCTGAGACCTTAGGACTTATATCTCAAGGTGGGTGGCGCATTTACGTTGTAGATGTCTATGGGCTCCAGTAACCACTTAACACCAGGTGGGCTGTGAGCTCGTCCACCCATCTAAGCAATAAAAAAAAAACCAAAAATAAGTACGTAAAAACATAAATACATGAATTTATCTATTTCTCGGCTATGGAGTAAAGAGAAATCGTAATGAACTACAAATACAAAGGCATCTTAACATAATAATCTCATATATCAATGTTAACATCTTATCCCTTCGGTTGTTGTATTAAGATAACACAACAAATTTTCCTCTATAAATAATGCCAGTTCCCACACATGTTGCCTGCAAGATTCTCATAATAGGATGTAGAGATAAGATGGATGTAGAGTAGAAAAAATATATTATTTGAAAATTACCAAAAAAAATATTACAGGTATTCGTAATGCCATAAATTGTATTTAATGAGATATGAGCGTTACAGAGTATTGCATCTATGTGAGCTAAATTAAAGATTTTATTTTGCAATGTATGTTTGTTAATATAAATAGAAGTGATTACAGAGAAGTTAAGTGTATTTATTATATAGTTATTTAAGAATAGCGATCCGCCCTCGCTTCGTTTCGGAAAAATTAAATTTTATTATTGATAGCTAAGTCCCGCGATGTGACCTGCGGTTATTGTCGTACCGCGGGTGACGCCGCGGGACGTAGCTAGTCTAAAAAAAGTAGCCTAAGTTACTCCTTTATATCATCAGCTACTTATCAGTGAAAGTCTTGTGAAAATCGGTCCAGTCGTTCCAGAGATTAGGCGGAACAAACAGACAGATAGACAGACAAAAATTGTAAAAAATGTTATTTTGGCGTATGTAAGCTGGTATTTCAATATTACAAACAGACACTCCAATTTTATTTATATGTATAGATTATATTTAGACAATTTTATCTTGGGTATTCAAACCTATGTTTGTGGCTCACAGATCTCATAATTACTATTTCTCCTTTTTATTTCGGAAAGACAAACGACATTTTCATTCATTGAAAATACCCATTAAGCTTTAGATTAATTCCATTAAAAAAATATCATCAACAATAAATATCTACTCAATTTTTACTATTCTACTCAAATTGTGGTTGGAGGAGGCCTTTGTCGACTGCCAAACAGATCTAGGGGCGATAACCAAGCAACAAATATTAGTTTAAATTTATTCATATCTATTAAGTTTTAGATTTTAATGCTAGATTATACATAAGTTTAAAAAATCATTGTACTAAGAGATCTGAATAAAAGGCTATATTATTATTATTATTATAACTCAAATTGTAAGTTTCAGTTCGATAGGTTAAAGTTTCTCTCCGGCTTTAGAATTTCATGTCAAAATTAGTTAATGATCTAATCAGCTATTATATTCGTCACGTTATGGTTAAATGCTAATTAAGTAAATAATTTTCTAGTGAAACATAAAGGTTGTTGACTTTTCAGGATTTGTTACGTAATAGAAATTTTAATAAAAAAACATTGTATTTTTAATATCTAAGTTGTTCTTACGAGTTTACGCACTACGTGACTTTAGGTGGTTTCTGAAGCCCAAAAAACACAAAAACGCGATAAATTAAGAAAAAACTAAACACCATCATAACTTATGGTGTAATGTGCTTTTAATAATCATGTTCGCGTCCGTCAATATACAAAAGACTGTTTAATAGTAGTGCGTACAAAATCACTACAAGCTTATAACGATTATTAACGCGGTGTTATATTTTCTTGGAATATAATTAGCTTTTCGGTTCGCTTTAGCGGTAGTCCCTCTGGTGTCTGCTTAAAGCTTTCTACCTTGCCGGATAGGGTAGTTTTGATCATAATATACGAGTAATAGCGACTTTGACGTTACATCTCAAGGTGACATTGCAGAGTTTTTAAGCTCCGGTAATCGCTTATCACCAGGTGAATGAAAGCTCGTACGTAAATTAAAAAAGTAATAGCAATAACCTTTTAAACATGCTCTCTAAAAAAATAGCTCTGTGTGAGATAAAACCATATATAAAAAAACGTGTGGCGCTCGGGAACTGCCGCGGTAAAGCTATTGCATAGCATTTTTTATCAACTTATGCCAGTATAATTAGACAATGATAATGTAATATTAAAATAATAATAAAACAAGACCACGCTATATTAAACCTTAATAAAGGCAAAACCTTCACACTCATAAGCTAAACCGCGCGAGAGAGAGATGGGCAGACTTTTCATTATTCGCATGCAGTGTGACATCCCGCCACGCGCTTATTCACAAACACTACACAAGCGCAACGTGTGAATGTGTTGAACGCGAGCTACATGGTAGGCGGAGTGAGGGGTGTTAGGTTTTTTTCGTTACGGAATTTCATGATTCGGTCGCCGCGCTCAAGGTCCGCGATAAAAGCTATACAATAGCTTAAAAAATAAATTAAATGCTCTGGATTTTGTTCAAACTTTACTCTAGATGTGCAGATGGTTTTATCTGTCATTTTAAATGGTTACAGGTATCATATATGAAATACTGATACCCAGAAACCTAGGTTGATACTCTACTACCTATTGTAATGTGTAACGGCTGGTAAACTTCTAACAAATGATTGACTACTGAGCGACAGAAATAAGTAGGACGCTTGAAATAATCGCAACATGCAGTGCAACAGGAGACTGTGTTTGTGTACAATATGATGCTTACATATATATATTTTTTCGGTGCATGTGTTTGTCACTGAACTCCTCCTAAGCGGCTGGACCGATTTTAATGAAATTTTCTGTGTACCTTCACGTGTTTTCGAGAATGGTTCAGATTTACAAATCAGTCCGGCAGATGACGCTGCAGTCGGTATCTAGGTTATTTATCTTTCCTAGAAATAATTTATATGGCAAAACAACGTTTGATGGGCCAGCTAGTCAAGTAGTAATTTTCCAAAGCTTTGAATGACACATGCTCGCCGTGATATTGCTCGAACCGCGAATGTAATTCGAGAGATGATTAGTCCGTAGGCACAGCTCATTGAGTTTCTCGCCGGATTTTCTCAGTGGATCGTGATTCCGATACGGTGGTGGATTCTTTTATGCACTGCTCTTACTTAAGAAAAGAAGGGAGGCCGCCCCAGAACAACTTGGCGTCGCTCGGTGTAGCAGGAGATAGGAGTCTTGATCGTGACGTGGGATGAGCTAAAACAGACTGCCCAAGACCGATGTAAATGGAAAAATTTGATTCGAGCCCTACACCCCAGCAGAGGGTAATAGGAAAGAATGATGATGATGACTGCTCTTACTAGGGTTAGTGTTAGCAAATCCTCTCAGGTTGAGGCCGTGAGCTCACCTACTTGTCTGCGCAGCTGGAATAGCCTGTTAGGCTACCAGCGTGTAGGTAGGGAAAAAGAGAGATTTTTTTTATTGCTTAGATGGATGGACGGGCTGACAGCCCACCTGGTGTTAATTGGTTACTGGAGCC